ACAAAATTAGATATTTAACCCATTGGGGGTTGACAGGTCCTCTCAGAGACTTATTCTCAGGGTCGCCCAAATTTAAAAAAAAAAAATTAAGTTTTTCTTGTGAAAAGATAGAGAATCTTTTCCCGATCATAATGACACCAAAAGTATGAAATTTGATGGAAAACTTATGGAATTATGCTCTCGCGAAGTTAGCGGTCTAGACGATGTTTACGCATCGGCAATTTTGCCCACTTTGAGCCCTATTTTCGGCCAATTCCAGTGTACTAGTCGACAAAAATCATAACTATTTCGCTAAAACTCCATTTTTTCTATCGAATGAGTACAAGAAACCACCCATTTACCGATTTCAACTGTCCAATAAAGTGGTCAGAATTTAGCAATTTTGCCAATTTCACACAAATTTCAAAAGATGCCAATTTCTGAATAGGGTCCAGAATAAACAAGAAAGACATTCCTGGCACTAAAATAACAAGTTCTCTGTTCGTTTGTCACATCCCCAGGCCCCTCTTATATTTCTTTGGCTTTCCACTTTGAATTTTTATTCTTGCCAAAAAAATAAGATTTACTGTTATGCAGACTACTGTATTAGTGTAGAAATGGTATAAATAATATCAGCGCACTTGTGAAAGAATATTAGACTCACCAGTTGATGTGTATTGGACACTTGGCATGATTTGTTTACTTTTGAGCTTTGGTAAAAATCGAACATTTCTGCTACTTTGAGCTCAATTTCAAGGTACTTTTCATTGTAAAACCAGTCAAAATCATCTCAATTTCTGTAATATGTCTTCCATTCTATAAAATGAGACCAAGAAAACTAGAATACAACAATAAATACCATACAAAAATACAGTGCAAAGTTGCTGTTTTAATCCAAAAACAGGGTCAAAGTTTTTTTTTCTCATTACGCACTGTGTGCTGCAGGATTTTTTTTATACTGCGCACACTGACCACATAGACCCATTCTTACATATGTAGGCCTACCAACTTTCTCTCACTAGATTTGAGGGTGCTAGAATTTAGGCGTACTAGTACGTCCGAAACCCCCAAAGGGTTAATGTGCCCAAGAGTGATTATTACATAATAGAGAGATGTGCTCATGGAGAATGTAAACAAACTGGGTGGCGCATGCCATATTTGAAAGACCGCGTGCAGTATAGAAAGTTTTGGTCATAATTTGAGATCGCCGTATTAGCGGAACGCTGTAATGCATAACTCCAAAAAGCGGGGCCCTACTGTATCTGAAAACATTAATTTCTTCCATACTCCCTCCCTCCAATGTGATATCCAATTTTTCTTTATCTAAATCATTTGATACGCTCATCACCTACTTTTAGCTATATTCACTTTCAACTTTCTACCTTTACATACCCTCCCAAACTCATCCACTAACTTTTGCAACTTTTCTTTAGAATCCCCCAAAAGTACAGTATCATCAGCAAAAAGTAACTGTGTTAACTCCCATTTTGTATTTGATTCCTCATAATTTAATCCCACCCCTCTCCCCAACTATTTATAAATATGTCAAACAACCATGGTGACATTACACGTCCCTGTACATAAATGAGGTGAAACCTACACAGAAGGATGACAGGGTTAATCCCCTGTATCACAAGTCATTCATAAAAAATAGATCAGTAATATTTATAAGAAATAACTAATTTAGTATGGGAGCAAGAGGCTAGTAATCCCATCTCCTGTATAAATTACTAAATTTAAAAAGAAAAACCTTGGTTTTTTCTTTTTAGGTTACCCTGCCTCGGTGGGATACGGCCGGTTTGTTGAAAATAAAAAACTAGTTTAGTAAACGCCTATGCTTGGAACAAACTGTCAGACACATTGGTGTAAATACCTTAAGAAGTTTTAGAGAAAAATTAAACATACATGAGTGAGAAGGTTGGTATTGGGTAGAAACTGCCTAGCATAAAACTTTACACACCTGCTTGATAGAACAGCCAAGTAGTAATAATGAAATGTAGTGATAGGAAATACTGTTCACTCTGACTTACTTTACTATATGTTCATTATAAACATATCTGGGATAAGGGGACTGCTGTCTTCTTATCAGGAAGGTGGTGAAATAACAAAATATGGTACAGTGGAACCTCATTTTTCGGTCGCTCTGTTTATCGGCCGATTCGTTTTTAGGATGGTTTTTCAGCGGAAATTTTGCTCCGTACTTCGGCCATTGCCTCATATATCGGCCATATTAGATGCGTTAGCCCATCTCTCCCGCTGGGACGCCAGGCTTTGGTAAGTCTGTCTCCCTTTGTCTGTCGGCGAGTGAGCATATACTCTGTGCATTCATCCAAACTTTTCCTTAAAATACACTGTTTTTCATGGTTTTTATTAAGTGCAACTGTGAAATAAGTCACCATGAGCCCCAAGAAAGTTCCTAGTAAAGTTCCTTTGGTAAAGAAAGTGAGAAACACGATGGAATTTAAGAAGGAAGTAGTAATAGAAAAATATGAGAGTGGTGTACGGGTGCTGGAGCTTGCCAGGATGTATGGCAAAAACAAATCAACAATCACTTCTATCATGGCAAAGAAAGAACAAATCAAGGAAGCTGATGTGGCAAAAGGGGTAAACCCGTTAACGAAAAAGAGATCACAAACTAATGAAGATGTAGAGAAGTTTGTTGTTGTGGATCAGGAAAAAACAGTTAGCAGGAGATAGTGTGTCAGAGACGATCATTTGTGAAAAGACAAGGCAATTGCATGTGGATTTCGTAAAGAAAATGCCTGGTACAAGTGATGATGTTAGTGAATTTAAGGCCAGCAGAGGCTGCTTTGAGATTTAAGAAGTGTAGTGGCATACACAGTGTTGTAAGGCATGGGGGGGCTGCAAGTTCTGACAAATGTGAAGCTGAAAAATTTGTGCATGAATTCAAGGAGTACATACAGACTGAAGAATTCCAACCCCAACAAGTGTTCAATTGTGATGAAACAGGCCTCTTTTTGGAAGAAAATGCCAAAGAGGACCTATATCATGGATGAAAAGGCACTGCCATGACACAAGTCTATGAAAGACAGGCTAACTCTTTTGTTCTGTGCTAATGCTAGTGGGGATTTCAATGTGAAGCCTTGACTCGTACATCACTCTCAAAATCCCCGAGTGTTCAAGAAAAACAATGTCATCAAGAGTAGACTGTGTGTGATGTGGAGGGCTAACAATAAGGCATGGGTCACAAGGCAAATTTTCTTTGACTGGGTCCATGAAGTGTTTGGCCCAAGTGTGAAAAAATACTTCCTGGAAAAGAAATTGCCACTCAAGTGCCTCCTAGTAATCAACAATGCTCCTACTCATCCTCCAAACTTGGTAGACCAATTGTCCAGGAATTTCAGTTTTATAACACCACTCCTCTCATCCAGCCCATGGACCAGCAGGTCATTTCTAACTTCAAAAAACTCTACACAAAAGCAGTGTTTCAAAAGTGCTTTGAAGTGACCTCGGACACTGAAATGACCCTAAGAGAGTTCTGGAGGAATCACTTCAATATCCTCTATTGCATAAGCCTTATAGGTAAAATTTGGCAGGGAGTGACTTCCAGGACTTTGAACTCTTCTTGGAGACAACTGTGGCCAGACTGTGTCCTCAAGAAGGATTTTGAAAGGTTTGAGGCTGACCTTGACTCTGTCGACCCTCTGCCTGTTGTGGAATCTATTGTGGCATTGGGGAAGTCCATGAGGTTGGATGTGAGTGGCAAGGATGTGGAAGAGTTGGAGGAGGACCACAGGGAAGAGCTAACCACTGAAAAGCTGCAACACCTTCAACAGGAACAGCAACAGACCACAGCTGAGGAACTTGCTTCAGAGGAGGAGGAGGAAGAGGGAGAGGGAAGGATGTGCCTTCTTCAGTGATTAAGAACATTTGTGCAAAGTGGAATGAGGTTCAAAATTCTGTGGAGAAATATCACCCTGACCAAGCTGAAACAAGCCAAATCTGCAACATGTTCATTGACAAAACTTTGTCCCATTTTAGGGAAATCTTAAGGAAACACCAGAAATAGAGCACTCTGCACAGTTATTTTGTGCGACAGGGGTCCAGTGACTCAAGCTGATCCTAGTGGCATTAAAAGACAAAGAAGGGAAGTAACCCCAGAGAGGGACTTGCTACCTAAAGTCCTTATGGAGGGGGATTCCCCTTCCAAACAATAATCTGCCCTCCCTATTTCCTCCTCCTTGTCTTCCATAAGCCAACAAGTCTTCAATAAAGGTACGTAATAGTGATTTAACCCTTAAACGGTCCAAACAGATCAACGTTCAAATTCGTAGTGCTACAAAAGTAGATCTACTTTTTTTTACATATTTTCAATAACAAAAAAAAATGTAGATAAAAGTTTTTTACACGTTTTCACATGTAAAACAAAAAAAAAAAAGATCTACATTTTTTACATACTTTCAGATGTTGAAAAAACGTGTATATATGTTTGGACGATTTAAGGGTTAAATATTCCTAATTTATTTTATTTAGTTCTCATTGTTTTATGTATGTAAAACTATAATTAATCGTGAAAAAATGTATTTTTTGTGAATATTTTTGGGTGTCTGGAACGGATTAATTGTATTTACATTAATTCTTATAGGAAATATTGCTTCGAATTTCAGCTTTTTCGAATTTAGGCCAACTTTCTGGAACAGATTACGGTCAATAAACGAGGTTCCACTGTACGTGAAATTACAACAGTTTATAGTCAATAAACATATCAATAAAACAACGTCACCAAATCAGGTTTGGAACAATTCACAACTAATCCATGTCATATATTTCCTCTCAACACTGCGAGTATCTACTGTGTAAACTATTCAAGAGAGGAAAGGTAATACCAAAGATACACTCCATCAATAAAATTATCCACAAATTTCTCCATTAAATTAAAGTTTTGAAGATATTAAAATAAATAAGACATTGATCTTTTCTAAATTATAGTATCAAGAAAGCCTGGAAAATTTCATTTAAGTTTCCTTTTCAAGAAATTTTAAAACACAACAGAACCTTACGTGTCTGGGAAAGGACTGAAATGTATGAACCATATAGAATCGGTGGAAGTAAACAACACCAGTCGCCATTGTCTCGTAGCGGAGTCCCATTTTGTTTCCAACCTGGAGAATGAAGCGAGCACCTTCACGACGATACTGAACTTCCTGTTCGACACTGAGGCCTGCAGCAATACTAGGTGTGTGTCGTAACTCCCGCTTCTCATAGTACCAACCTGACAACTAGTAAAAAATAAAACATGATTAGCATCTCTGTAAAGAAGAATAAAAGTCACAATTCTTTGTCTGGAACAATTCATAACCCACAAACTAGAGATAAACCTTTAGATGATACATTATTTTAATGTTTATTGGAGGTGCCATATCAACCAAGCTGTGATGAATATGTGGGGAAGTGGGCCTCCAGCATCAACAGCCTGATTGACCAGGGAAGCATCAGACAAGCCTGGCCCGTGGCCAGGCTCCGAGAGCAGTGAAACTCTCGAAACTCTTCAAAGGTATATCAAAGGTACTGGACCCTAATGCAGTCACTATTTTAACCCTTAAATGGTCCAAACGTATATATACGTTTTTTCAACATCTGAAAGTATGTAAAAAAATGTAGATCTTCTTTTTTGTTTTACATTTGAAAACGTGTAAAAAAAACTTTTATCTACATTTTTTTTTGTTATACAGTGGACCCCCGCATAACGATCACCTCCGAATGCGACCAATTATGTAAGTGTATTTATGTAAGTGCATTTGTACGTGTATGTTTGGGGGTCTGAAATGGACTAATCTACTTCACAATATTCCTTATGGGAACAAATTCGGTCAGTACTGGCACCTGAACATACTTCTGGAGTGAAAAAATATCGTTAACCGGGGGTCCACTGTATTTGAAAATATGTAAAAAAAAGTAGATCTACTTTTGTAGCACTACGAATTTGAACGTCAATCTCTTTGGACCGTTTAAGGGTTAATACTAATATATAATGTTAGATAACAAGTGCAGGTACTCCTTAACTTAAGATGGTTCGACTTACAATATTTCAACTTTACGATGGTGCAAAATCAATTACAGTGGACCCCCGCATAACGGACGCCTTGCATAGCGGACAATCCGCATAGCGGACGCTTTGATCGCTAAAATTTTGCCCCGCATAGTGGACAAAAACCCGCTCAGCGGCCTTCGTCCGAGACGCGTCCAATGTGCGCTTGAGCCACGCTCACATGTTCCGCGGGTGGCATTGTTTACCAGCCAGCCTCCGCGGTAACATCCAAGCATACAATCAGAACATTTTGTATTATTACAGTGTTTTTGGTGATTTTTTTCTGGAAAATAAGTGACCATGGGCCCCAAGAAAGCTTCTAGTGCCAACCCTACAGCAATAAGGGTGAGAATTACTATGGAGATGAAGAAAAAGATCATTGATAAGTATGAAAGTGGAGTGCGTGTCTCCGAGCTGGCCAGGTTGTATAATAAACCCCAATCAACCATCGCTACTATTGGTGGTACAGCTGCTGCTGCTGCTGTATCACCGTCAGCTGCTGCTGCACTGTCAGCTGCTGCTGCTGTACCACCGTCAGCTGCTCCTGCTGCTGTAGTACCGTCTGCTGCTGCTGTAGCATCGTCTGTTGCTGCTGTAGCATCGTCTGTTGCTGCTATACCACCGTCAGCTGCTGCTGCTGCTGTAGCATCGTCTGCTGCTGCTGCTGCTGTAGCATCGTCTGCTGCTGCTGTAGCATCGTCTGTTGCTGCTGTAGCATCGTCTGCTGCTGCTGCTGCTGTAGCATCGTCTGCTGCTGCTGTAACATCGTCAGCTGCTGCTGCTGCTGCTGTAGCACCGTTGTTGGTGTGGCTTATTGAGAATACCAAGAAACAATTAACCCCAGAGGATTTGCCACCCAGGATAGCCCAAAAAAGTCAGTGTCATCGAAGACTGTCTAACTTATTTCCATTGGGGTCCTTAATCTTGTCTCCCAGGATGCAACCCACACCAGTCGACTAACACCCAGGTGAACAGGGAAAATGCCTGGAACTAGTGCTCATATTGGTGAATTTAGAGCCAGCAAAGGTTGGTTTGAGAGATTTAAGAATCGTAGTGACATACACAGTGTGATAAGGCCTGTTCTGGAAGAAAATACCAAACAGGACCTACAGTACTCAGGAGGAAAAGGCACTCCCAGGACACAGTGTCTCATCAGTCATTGCTGCATCTTCAATAAAGGTAAGTGTCATTTATTCTTCATTTAGTAGAGTAGTACATGCACAATATATATTGTGCATGTACTACTCTACTATTGTGCATGTATCCTTCTCTTTGTGTGTAGGAAAATGTATATTTCATGTGGTAAAATTTTTTTTTTCAAACTTTTGGGTGTCTTGCACGGATTAATTTGATTTCCATTATTTCTTATGGGGAAAATTCATTCACATAGCGAACATTTCGCATAACAGCCAGCCCTCTTGCACGGATTAAGGTCGCTATGCGGGGGTCCACTGTACTTTGGAGATGAAACACAAGATACTGTAATTACCCAGCCTGAAGGCAGCAAGACCGAAACTTGTATTCATTTATTTACTTTTTAATACTGGTATGTACTTACACTAATTATTTATTTATTTACTTATTCAGTGACAGTAGTTGTTCATTTAACTATCTAGCATATCATAATCATATTCAACTTACGATATTTTTGACTTACGATGGGTCTGTCAGGACATAGCCCCATCGTAAGCCAAGGAGCACCTGTAGACAGTATACATGTATATACAGCCTCTCCTCACTTAATGACTGAGGTCCGTTCCTAAGACCATGTCATTAAGCGAATTCGTCGCTAAGTGAGGAGCATACTATAATGGTAGCGGATTTGTGTCAACCATCTTTGATACTGTTTTAATGTCACCTCTGCACCATTTATAGCATTTCTGATATATTTTTAAATGTTTATATAGTAGTGTACTGTACAGTGGACCCCCGGTTAACGAACTTTTTTCATTCCAGTAGTATGTTCAGGTGCCAGTACTGACCGAATTTTTTCCCATAAGGAATATTGTGAAGTAGATTAGTCCATTTCAGACCCCCAAACATACACGTACAAACACACTTACATAAATACACTTACATAATTGGTCGCATTTGGAGGTGATCGTTAAGCGGGGGTCCACTGTATATTGAAATAAACAGAATAGACGAAATCAGCTATAATATACATTATTTAGATATAAATACTGGTCAGAGAGCCCGTCGTAAGTCCAAGGCATCTGTAAACGAGTGCAGTAGGGCCCCGCTTTAAGGTGTTTCACCTTACGGTGTTCCGCTAATACGGCAATTTCAAGTTATGACCAAAACTCGCTATGAGGCGAGTGGTCTTTAAAATATGGCGTGCCCCACTCAGTTTATTTACTTTCTCCGTGAGCACATATAGTGGTACCCAAGCTTCGTACTGCTCCCAACTCAATCAATTATGTAAGTGTATTATTGTAAGTGTTTTTGTAATTATATTTTTGGGGGTCTGAAACAAACTCATCTAATTTACATTATTCCTTATGGGAACAAATTCATTCGGTAACGGCACTCGAACAGCCTTCTGGAATGAAGAAAGTTCAAAACTCGGGGTATCACTGTTTTAAAGTTATTGCGTATTTTATATATACATGTACAGTGGTACCTCGCTATACGAATTTATTTCGTTCCAGGAGGCTGTTCGAGTGCCGATACCGAACAAATTTGTTCCTATAAGGAATAATGTAAATTAGATTAATCCATTTCAAACCCACAAAAATACACTTACAAAAGCACTTACATAAGTACACTTACAAAATTGTTTGAGTTTTGAGCTGTTCGTATCCCGAGGTACCACTGTACAGTGGACCCCCGCATAACGGACGCCTTGCATAGCGGACAATCCGCATAGCGGACGCTTTGTTCGCTAAAATTTTCCCCCGCATAGTGGACAAAAACCCGCTCAGCGGCCTTCGTCCGAGACGCGTCCAATGTGCGGCCTGAGCCACGCTCACATGTTCCGCGGGTGGCATTGTTTACCAGCCAGCCACCGCGGTAACATCCAATCATACAATCGGAACATTTTGTATTATTACAGTGTTTTTGGTGATTTTTTCTGGAAAATAAGTGACCATGGGCCCCAAGAAAGCTTCTAGTGCCAACCCTACAGCAATAAGGGTGAGAATTACTATGGAGATGAAGAAAAAGATCATTGATAAGTATGAAAGTGGAGTGCGTGTCTCCGAGCTGGCCAGGTTGTATAATAAACCCCAATCAACCATTGCTACTATTGGTGGTACAGCTGCTGCTGCTGCTGTACCACCGTCAGCTGCTGCTGCACTGTCAGCTGCTGCTGCTGTACCACCATCAGCTGCTGCTGCTGCTGTAGTACCGTCTGCTGCTGCTGTAGCATCGTCTGCTGCTGCTGTAGCATCGTCTGCTGCTGCTGCTGCTGTAGCATCGTCTGCTGCTGCTGCTGCTGTAGCATCGTCTGCTGCTGCTGCTGCTGTAGCATCGTCTGCTGCTGCTGTAACATCGTCAGTTGCTGCTGTAGCATCGTCTGCTGCTGCTGTAGCATCGTCTGTTGCTGCTGTAGCATCGTCTGTTGCTGCTGTACCACCGTCAGCTGCTGCTGCTGCTGTACCACCGTTGTTGGTGTGGCTTATTGAGAATACCAAGAAACAATTAACCCCAGAGGGTTAGCTACCCAGGATAACCCAAGAAAGTCAGTGTCATCGAAGACTGTCTAACTTATTTCCATTGGAGTCCTTAATCTTGTCTCCCAGGATGCAACCCACACCAGTTGACTAACACCCAGGTGAACAGGGAAAATGCCTGGAACTAGTGCTCATATTGGTGAATTTAGAGCCAGCAAAGGTTGGTTTGAGAGATTTAAGAATCGTAGTGGCATACACAGTGTGATAAGGCCTGTTCTGGAAGAAAATACTAAACAGGACCTACAGTACTCAGGGGAAAAGGCACTCCCAGGACACAGTGTCTCATCAGTCATTGCTGCATCTTCAATAAAGGTAAGTGTCATTTATTCTTCATTTAGTAGAGTAGTACATGCACAATATATATTGAGCATGTACTACTCTATTATTGTGCATGTATCCTTCTCTTTGTGTGTAGGAAAATGTATATTTCATGTGGTAAAAATTTTTTTTTCATACTTTTGGGTGTCTTGCACGGATTAATTTGATTTCCATTATTTCTTATGGGGAAAATTCATTCGCATAGCGAACATTTCGCATAACAGCCAGCCCTCTTGCACGGATTAAGGTCGCTATGCGGGGGTCCACTGTACTCTGATAATTATACTTGTGTGTGCCTGTACCTAAATATACAGTGGACCCCCGAGTTTCAGCAGCCTCGACTTTTGTGAAATTTGACCTTATTTTTTGGAAAAATTTGGCCTCGAGTTTCGTGAAAAGACTCGTGTTTCGGCGACCGTCCGGTACCCGTCCGCCCGTCACCGCGCACACCAAGCCAGTCTCCCACGTCATTCACGCTCAGTGTGCCACTATTTACCAACACGTGACCATCACCCTGCGGGTTCATACAATACATTTCATAATAATCCATTGTTTTTTGTGCTTGCAACTGCTAAATAAGTCATCATGGACCCAAGGAAAGCTAGTGCAAGCCCTTTGGTAAATCAAGTGAGTGATGGGGATGTGGAAGAGTTGGTGGAGGACCACAGGGAAGAGCTAACCACTGACGAACTGCAAGAACTTCAATGGAACAGCATCAGACCACAGCCGAGGAACTTGCTTCAGAGGAGGAGGAAGAGGGAGTGGATGAGGTGCCTTCTTCAGTGATTAAGGACATGTGTGGAATGTGGAATGAGTTGCAAAGTTTTGTTGAAAGGTATCACCCTGACCAAGCTGAAACAAGCCAGATGTGCAACATGTACAATGACAGTGTTGTGTCCCACTTCAGGGAAATCTTAAAGAAATCCCAGAAAAAGACCTCTCTGGACAAATATTTTGTGCGACAGGGGTCCAGTGACTCTCAAGTTGTTCCCAGTGGCATTAAAAGAAGAAGGGAAGAAACCCCAGATAAGGACTTGCTACCTAAAGTCCTAATCGAAGGAGATTCTCCTTCCAAACAATAGTGTACACCTTCCTCCTATCCCCTCCTCCCGTCTTCCATCCACGCAGAAGTCTTCAGTAAAGGTAAGTGTAATGTTATTATCATTTTTTTAAATGCATGTATACTTGATTTCTGATTGTTTTCATTATGTAAATCTTTATTTAATTTGAAAAAAAAATAAAGTGTTTGGAATGGATTAATTTTATTTCCATTATTTCTAATGGGGTAAATGGTTTCGAGTTTCGTGAATTTCAACCTTCGGCAGGCTCTCTGGAATGGATTAATCACGAAACTCGGGGGTCCACTGTACTTACACACTGTGCTGGTGTGCAGGTACACATTAAAATCACTAAGTCTCTCTCTACTCTTGACATCATATAATCTCTTGGGCGTATTAAATGTCTTATATTATGTTAATACAGACATTTCCATTAAACCATCTATGATATTTTTTTCAAAATTATATAATAAATACGCTACATAACATATAAACATGATATATACACCCACAGCATAAAAATTGACATAAATATGAGATATGTTTACCAAACGGTTTGTATGGGTGCCGAAAGAATTACGTTTTCTCTAGTCAAACACCAGTTACTTAATTGTAGAAAAATATTCCTTTCGTATGCCTTCACTCTATCTATAGCTATTCCTGACCCTTGTGGGTTTAGTGCTTCTTTTTTATGATTATATAATAATAATTTGTAATAATAATAATTTGTAGTAATAATAATTTGTAGTAATACAATTTGTAATAATAATAATTTGCAATAATAATAATAATAATTTGTCAAAGCATCATTCCTTCTAAAAATTACATGAGAATGGAAGTGTTGGTCTTTACTTATTCTACTGTACCACTATGGAGATAACCTGTACACAATGTATGGTGTTTGTATGAATGTGTATCAACCATAACCAGATTGTAGAAAAATATTCCTTTCATATGCCTTCACTCTATAGCTATTCCTGACCCTTGTGGGTTTAGTGCTTCTTTTTATGATTATATAACAATTTGTAATAATAATAATTTGTAGTAATAATAATTTGTAATAATAATAACTTGCAATAATAATAATAATAATTTGTCAAAGCATCATTCCTTCTAAAAATTACATGAGAATGGAAGTGTTGGTCTTTATTTATTCTACTGTACCACTGTGGAGACAACCTGTACACAATGTAAGGTGTTTGTATGAATGTGTATCAACCATAAACCAGATGGTTTGTTTACATAAGTACTCTGCGGTTGTCACCTTACTCATTCTCTCTCTCTCTCTCTCTCTCTCTCTCTCTCTCGTTTATTCGTTTTTATCTCGCTTACTCACCTCTCACCCTACATTAAGACTACAAATATTTTAAGGTAAGTAATGAGTGTACTGTATGTGTATTTTATCACTCTAGGGCACTTTAAATGTCATAGTAGGTGGGGTGGCCAGGCGGGCTACCATACCCTACCTCCCACATGACTTCCTGCAAATCAATACTTTTCACCTCTCACCCTACATTAAGACCATTAAGATTACAAATATTTTAAGGTAAATAATGAGTGTACTGTATATACATTTTATCATTCTAGGGTGCTTTTAAGCATTGTAGTATATTATGTGGGTGGGGTGGCCAGGTGGGCTACCACACCTGACTTCTTACAGTACATACTCCTCACCTTTTGCCCTACATTAAGACTACAAATATTTTGAGGTAAATAATGACTGTACTGTGTGTGTATTTTACTTTTTATTGTTTTTAATGCCTAGTTCTATTGCTAACTTAATATATGTTAGTGTAAACTTGTTTTCTGGCATTTATAAGTGGAAAAAATGGCATTCTGCTTTCCGTCGATGTCTGCTTTGTGGTAGTAGCCTGGAACCCTGCCATATAAGTGGGCCCCTACTGTACGTCACTAAGGGAGGAGAGGCTGTACTGGTGAATGTGCCAAACAAGAAATGTGTGTCCCATACTTAACTGTAATAGATTTCAAAAGGAATATTGAAATATTAACAATGAACCCCTCTGTTTAATGAGCTTCAATTTACCCGACTTTAGAAATACAGAACAAAATCCACTGGGTCAACCAATTCGGAAACAACAAAGTCCACTAGCTGTAGAATTGTCCAGTATTGATACGATCATGGCAAAACAATTTTATCTCTAACCAACACATTCACTATTAATCTCCACTCACTTTCCCCTGTTAGTCTGTTAAATGGAGAATTTACTAAAGGTAGATTTCATCCACTATTTATAGTTTTAAAGTTAGTTTTACAGCTGAGATATTATTTCATTGTGCAAATGGTACAAAATGTAACTTAACAAAAATCCATTTAAACTAACCCAAAATAACCTGGTTTAATCTGACTCTGCCACCAGCAGAGTGACACCACTCAATACAAACTCTGGTTCAGACATGCTGCACAACCAAAATTAAAGTATTATTTTTGATATCTCTCAAAACAGCCATTTGAACAAGAATAACTTAACTTATTCTGTTGTGTACATTCGTTGAATGTTTTGTAAAGTGTAAACTAATGCCCATGTTCTGCCTAGTAGTAATTGTGAACTATAGCACATTATCATTATCATCTCTTTTTTTTTATATGCAAGTGCTCAATCTTTAGGAAGACATACAGCACCTCAAACAATGGAATACAATCAATCTGATCCAAGAAAAAGGGAGTGTAGCTCAAAATCCTTAAATCAAGATTCCTTCACTGACATCAGTTGCATTATTATATTATTATTATTATTATTATTATTATTATTATTATTATTATTATTATTATTATTATTAATGCCTCTGGGGTCATGCAGCACATGAGGGAGTTATTAAAGGCAATGGTTGGTTGGTTAAAACCTATCAACTACATGAGGGTCATTATTCACGTTTGATCAAAGAATGGGGAGGATAGGTCCACTTCCTTGGATGAAGGATACACTTTGACTGTAACCTGAAATTCAACACACATCTAACACTAAGAAAATTTACAAAACTCTGGGTATTTAGTAGAAAAAAAACCTACTTTATTTACCAAATAACACTGCTCACTTTATACTATTTTCTAATCTATCCTTACCTCACTTACAGTATTTGTACTCGGCGATCTACTAGAGCAAATCACCTAATACCCAGAGTTACTCACCAAAAATTGGCTAGATAAAGATTTTCTTCGGATTTTTAACCCTGGAGGGTTTGCCACCCAGGGCCCAGGTTCGATTCTTGGCGGGTGGAAACATTTCGACATGTTTCCTTACACATATTGTCCTGTTCACCTAGCAGCAAATAGGTACCTGGGTGTTAGTCGACTGGTGTGAGTCGCAACCTGGGGGACAAGATTGAGGACCCCAATGAAAATAAGTTATACAGTCCTCGATGACATACTGACTTTCTTGGGTTATCCTGGGTTACTAACCCTCCAGGGTTAAAAATCCGAACAAAATCTTACGCTATCTTGTCTTAGGTATAATTGTACCTACCTGTACTTGTACCTAAATAAACTTACTTATTATACTTGTCTCATTTCCTAGTAGTTATTATTACAATCAAAATTAAGAGCTAAATCCACAAGGGTCATAAAGCGATTCTCTAATAAGTTAATTTTAATTAAGGCTGCCTGAAGCGCCCTCGTAAGGAGGGGTACTAAAAAAATCAGTTTACACATTTCAGTTACTCCGATATCAATCTGTATACCACATTCCACTTTACCGAAACAAAAGTTGTTTATTTGTTTTGCTTTGTTTTTGTTTGTTACAAGACCAATAGATACTGCCAGCAACGTACCTTGGATGCCTTGGTCATGCTGCTCCAGGCACCAAAACCTGTGATAATTCAAGAAATATCTTGTTCCTGGTTATGTTTGAGTACTTCTCCTCCTCCCCGGTGATAACACGAGCTGTAGGGCTCCCCCAGAACGACTATAATTGCTATAATTACTACAATTACTGCGATAATAAGAGAGAAAGAGAGACAGTGTGTGAAGGCAGCGTTGTTGTGTTGACAACAGCTGGAACCTCAGGCACAACCAGCTTATCTTTTATTGAAAAACAAAATATTAAATCAAATCAATGCATATTACACATTGTGAACATCAAAATGGTATACAATACCGACAGGTTGTTAGGTAAGACACATATGCAACAGTTAGACAACTTTATTCCGAAACGTTTCGCCTACACAGTAGGCTTCTTCAGTCGAATACAGAAAGTAGGCAGGAACAGTAGAGATGTGAAGACGATGTAATCAGTCCATCACCCTTAAAGTCGTAGAATTTGAGGTTGTCAGTCCCTCGGCCTGGAGAAGTTCAGTTCCATAGTCAGGAACTATCTGATAGTTCCTGACTATGGAACTGAACTTCTCCAGGCCGAGGGACTGACAACCTCAAATTCTACGACTTTAAGGGTGATGGACTGATTACATCGTCTTCACATCTCTACTGTTCCTGCCTACTTTCTGTATTCGACTGAAGAAGCCTACTGTGTAGGCGAAACGTTTCGGAATAAAGTTGTCTAACTGTTGCATATGTGTCTTACCTAACATATTACACATTGTTTATTTATATAATATTTATGAGGGCGCAGAGATGACGTTAGCAGTTAGCCAGTTAGGTTAGTAATAGGTTATTACAAGAATTCCAGTCGAAATAAGTCACATAGTTAAGTAGATTAGTTGTTTTAACTTTTAAGGTTTAAGTAAGATATTACAAGGATCCCAATGGAAATAGGTCACTTTGACTTTCGTGGGTTATATTAGGTAATCTACACGTGCTGCTATGTATGATAATTTATGTAATTGTATTGATGTGTCCCTGTACCTGAATAAACTTACTCTGTTAAGACGTTTTTTGGGTTATCATAGATCAAATCAAATCAATCAAAGTTTATTCTCTATAAGGATTACAATGCGGGGTTTACAGATTTTGGTTACTGTGTGGTTTACATGTAATAAAATACTAATTACAGAGGGGGCCACTAGAACACCTAGCAAGGCTAGGCATTTCGGGCAAACTTTGATTAATTCTTAATCCTAAATTATTACAAATTGTGGAGTAAATTGACTAAATACTAAGTGACTAAATACTAAGTGACTAAATACTAAATGACTAAATACTAAGTGACTAAATACTAGTTTGTGAGTTTAGCAATGTGAATGCTTTTGTTTTGGCACAATACATAGTTTCTATATTGGAGTATCGCAGGCAAAATTGTGACTAGTTAGGAATCATTATTTTAAGATTAAGATACATATTTCTGTGCTTATAGACAAATGGGTGAGTGAGTGAGTGTGTAAACCACCAGGTGGTTTTTATGTAGTTAGTTGACGGGGTGTATCAGGGAGATATGTTTTCTAACGGTAGTTTTGAAGGTGATGAATGTGTCTGCAGTTCTAGAGTTTTCAGGTAGGGTGTTCCAGATTTTAGGTACCTGGGTGTTAGTCGATTGGTGTGGGTCGCATCCTGGGGGACAGGAATTGAAAAACAAACAAAATGGCAAAAAGGCATAGTCCTCGATAACGCACCAACTTTCTTGGCTTATCCTGGGTGGCTAACCCTTCCCGGGTTAAAAATCCGAACAAATCTTATATTATCTTTACTAACCATACCACGGGTGGAGATAGAACCCATGATCAGAGAGTCTCAAAACTCCAGACCGTCGCATTAGCCACTGGACCAGCTAGCCACAATAAGTGTGGAAAATACTGTATATATTTTCCAGAAATTCAGTATTTATATGTAAATAGATGGCCATACTGTATTTAATAATATTTATGTCATAGAAAACGGAAAGCCTGCGTCTGCGCAGACGAGACTCGCCATCTTGGTTTTGAATTTTGTACAACGTTAATATAATGGGAAGAATTTTTCGTGCTCTAGAGGTTAAACTGGGACTGACACCTCTCAAATAGGAGGCGAAATTGTTGGATGTGCATTCCTGCATAACTTGAGATATCAGACGACTGGACAAGACAGCTCCATGAACCTCAGATAAGCTCTATAGATTTGTGTATAATTCTGGCCAGTGTTTTCATAAATTTAGTTAGTGAGGTTTTTCTGAGCATGATACAACTTAATATCCAGTCAAATTGGTGAGTGATATTAAGATATATTTTCCTTTTATGTATATGTGAATTTATATATAGTCATTTTTTAATATTCAGTCCACAAATTTATATATTTACGAGAATTCCTGATGTATAATTCATTTAATAATAGGTCCAGAGCAACTTGAGGATATGACAGTGGTAGGTATCGAAGGGGGACATTTTTGCGACCTAGGTGTCCCAAATTCCTACTTGTCTAAGTGATAAATAATAATTATCTATGTTTATTTACTGTCATGTACATAATTATACATACAGATAAATGTAATTTTCCACAATAAGATTCGCTATGGAAATATAAACGCATATGCAGTATAATGTGATCCTTTATTAACGTTTCGCCCACACAATGGGCTTTTTTAAGTCACAAACAGATCTGTTTGTGACTTGAAAAAGCCCACTATGTGGGCGAAACGTTGTCAATAAAGGATTACATTATACTGCATATGTGTTTATATTTCCATTGTGTCGGTATTTTATACCATTTATTTCCAAGATTCGCTAGCTGGAGATTCGTCTGTAAAAATTTGCATTTGTGGTCACAGTGGTGCCTATGCTAACATGGCGTAGAAATATACCTAGTTGGCAAATCTCATTGTGGCTAGCTGGTCCAGTGGCTAACGCGACGGTCTGGAGTTTTGAGACTCGGATCGCGGGTTCAAACCCCGCCCGTGGTATGGTTTGTTTGCAGTCGTGTCATTATGATTTCGTGAGTCATTATATTTACTTTACTTACTTGCTTACTTACAAAATATATTTAAAAACAATGTGGCAAGATGTAACCATAATTAAATACTTTAAAATTTTAAAGCATAACAATTTTCACTTTCATAATACATTAGGAAACAGGAGATAATAAAAAAATATGTTATTTAAGAACACTGGAGTTCTTGTAGTGTTAATAAAGAACAACGCATTTCAAAGAAATACTGAGGCCTATTTTTATTATTATTATTATTGTTGGTGGTGGTGGTGGTGTTGTTGCAGGAATTTTGAGATGCCTGCACTCTGAAGGGTAATTAATATATTTTGTGATGCCAGCACACTGCAGACAGAGCAGCAATTGAATGAATGATGGTGAAAGTTGTTTTCTTCTTCGGGTCACCCTGCCTTGGTGGGAGACGGCTCTTGAAGGAGACATAAAAGATGATATACTTTTTTGAGGACACTAAAAATCGAGAGAGTCATATGTACAGTGTAGAAGGATAAACTTGACTGGTATAATTAACAAAGTCCCTTCAGCTTCATCATACTTGGCAAGAGATTTAAATAAACGAGGTTAATTATTACCTGAAGATTATAAAAGCATAAGAGAGTGATTTATTATGAAATGAGAGCTATCTGAATTATGAATGACATTAAAAAAATTGATGGTTTATAGCAACTGGAAGGAGCACTGCCAGAAAGGTACAATGAATATATCAAGGAAAATAATTAATAAGACCAAACAGGGCAAAATATGCTAGTTCTTGCTATATAGCCATGGTAATTTATCAGTCTCTGAAACGACCCACTCTTCTACCTCAAAAGAATAATGTAATCAATTGTAATGAGAAAGTTTTATATCATCTTTCATCCAGCAAACACAAACTGGCTTATAATGAAGTGAACCCGCGCTGCTACTTGAGAATATTCCTATGGAAATATAAACACAAATGCAGTATAATGTGATCCTTTATTGACAACGTTTCACCCACACAGTGGGCTTTTTCAAGTCACACACGGATCTACCCCAGGTAGAAAGGTGTGTGACTTGAAAAAGCCCACTGTGTGGGTGAAACGTTGTCAATAAAGGATCACATTATACTGCATTTGTGTTTATATTTCCATTGTGTCGGTATTTTATACCATTTATTTCCAGAATATTCCTATGTTCAAGATACGATTTATTACGAACACAGTGAAAATAAATCTAAGAATCAGAAAATTTCAATGTAAGCTAGTGTAGAAATGAAGCGATGTTGTATTGTGTAGATGTATCAATGTAGAGACTGTGCAACAGATGTGACTGTTGCAGGTACACAGCTGCAGCAGGCAATTATTACTATTATTATATTGAACAAAACTGCTGACAGTGAAGGGAAAGAGAGATACGATAGATAAATGTGGAACTGAAAATCGTGGTAAAAAAAAATGTGGGTTTGTTAAAGATTTTTTTAGAAGACTTAAATGATGCAAGTTTATCGAATGATCAATGTAAGCAATCAAAAGATGTGTTCGGAAAAGGCAGAGAAACAACTGGCGAGTCATTGTGAATTAATTTTGGAGGGAATAGAAGGGAAGCATGTAAATAAGGAGTGCTAATAAAAGTAGGTTGTGTGATTTACTAAGCACTTGATCAAAAGAATGTTAACAAGCCTTAACCTGTAAAACTGACGTGAAAAAAAAAACTCCATTTTCTTGGATCGAAGCTGAATAATTGCAGATTAAATATGCTACAAAGTAATTCCCCTCAAGGAAGGTTCCTTGATGTTGGTGAGGGGCTCTTGATTTAGGGAATTGGATCTGTGCTCCAGTTCCCCGAATTAAGCCTGAATGCCTTCCACATCCCCCCCCCAGGCGCTGTATAATCCTCCGGGTTTAGCGCTTCCCCCTTGATTATAATAATAATACAAAGTAATTCACTGCTTAGATCTATTATTATTCTATTCAGATTTGAGCCACGGAAGGGTAGCTCCAAGTCCTTGGATCAAAAACCTTTCAGCAGTATCAAAGGGACGAGATCTATTAGTTAAGAATGAGAGACAATGGTGGGATGGTGAAGGCAGGTAGAGTGTTGGATTTATTATTATAAGAAAGAAGCGCTAAACTTACAAGGGTTGGGGAGTGTTAGACTGGTTGTTGTATGACAGCAGTGAATGTGGATTATTATTATAATCATTTTATTATTATTATTATAATCAAGTGAATGTGGAAAAAGTCCACATAGCAAGAACTCACCTAATTGTGGTTGCAGGGGTCAATTCCTAGCTCCTGGCCCCGCCTCTTTACTGGTCGCAAGTGTAGGATGGTTGGTGTAACTGTGGGAATAAGACATTCAGTTGAGAGTTATTGGAGGCCTTTCGTCACAGGTGGCTTTTTCATTCCTAATACTGTACTTTTCTGGAACTTGGAGTCCCCGAAACAGTAATGATTCTTGATCACCACTGTTTATTTTAGGGCAAAAGCCACCAGAGACGAAACGTCTTTTCTAATAAATGTCTTATTCCCATAATGTGTCGGTATTACCATACCTGTGCTTGTACAAGCTGTTAACACAGCACAAGAATAGATGTTTTATATGGAAACTGTCTTTATCTCTCACTATCATCTTAAAGCCTTCACGACCACTCTGCCTTTCTTCCCAACTATAAACCCAAACTATAGTCAAACATTTCGAGGAGGTTGAAATTATTGCTATATTCATGGACGGGAGCAAGACAGCTAGCAAATGAACAATGGTGAATGTTTTCTTGTTTGGGTCATTCTTCCTATTGCCTTTTTTTTTATTTTAATCTAGAAGTACTATATCGTAGGGGATATTATATCGACTTGGGAATGCGAAGCATTCAGGTTCAATCTAAATTATCAAAACTAAGCGCTGAACCCGCAGGGGTTATAAAGAGCTGCAGGGTACGGTGTGCTGTTTAATATAATTGATTTTATCTCTTATCTGAGACTAATAAGGGTGGCCTGGTCACAGACCGGTCCGCGGGGACGTTGACCCCCGACACCCTCTCCAGGTATAACAGAGGTAGAGTTAATAAGGGCATTGAGGTTCAATCTAAAAAAAATAGTGAGTATAGGGAGAGTATAATTCCCATTTCTTGGATTAAGAGCTCTGAATGGAATCAAGGTACTTGAGGAGGTTTTGGATGTATAATTCGAGTGGCATCATGCTTTCAATGCTGATATGTCTGAAATAGCTTTGAAGTATGCTAGACTGTATTGAAATCAATTTGCAACCCCTTCGCCTGGACATACCTCCCATGGCATAGGTTTGAAAGATGTGTTTCTTAAAAATCTCAGACTTTTTCTCCTATAGGATTGTATATGTATAGATTTTGTTATATTCGTTGTGGGAGAAGGGGTTGAGAGCATTAAACACGCACAAGTCAAACAGCGCCTGAGTATAATGGGAGGCATTTAGGCTTGATTCAAGGAATTGGATAACGGAACAAATTCCTCCCCCGAGGGAATATAACATGACGAAAGAAACACTATTATTAAAAACTAAGTTTTTATAGTTTCATATTTTCATAAAACTATTCCCAAGCTGGCACCTACGCTCTGGTACATAATTATTACATTTATTAGTGATGAACCCATAGAGGTCATACAGCAGCAAGGGATGATAGTAGGTATTAAGATTCAATCAAAATTATTATAACCATGGGGGAGCGCTAAACCCGTAGGATTTTGCAGTGCCTGTGGGAGGATGATGGAAGGCATTCAGGCATAATTCAGGGAACTAGAGCACAGATCCAATTCCCTAGATCAAGAGCCCCTCACCAGTATGAAGGAACCTCCCTTGGGGATGCTCGGGTAAAGTATTCTTCCAAAAAGATTTTCATTTATCACTCATTTAGCCATTATCAATATAAATTTGCCAGTTAACCAACATAGTTAATAAAACTGTAATTGTTGGATTCTGGGCAATATCTCAAGAATGCATCTTCTGATTAGATTACAATTTATATAACTGATTTTGAGTCATGTTTTCGGAGAAATAATTGGAGAACATCTCTTCTGACAAGCTTCAAACCTAAGCACTGGTGTATCACACTTAAGATAAATAAATACTGAACAGCGTTATAAATTTATAATGCACTGTCCTTATCTTTTTTTGTATGCATCTCAGTAGATAGGGTTGGGCTTATGGGATATGAGGATGCCTGTCATGTATCGTGCAGGACGCAAAATGTACCTTCCCTATATTCATAGAGAAGAACTAAATGCATGTCATACAATGCCTGTAGAGCAAAAAGTAAAGGTACGACCCACAGAACAAGAGAGTAACTCCAGTTCTTTGAGCCTTTCACCAGCATTTGATATTTAAGAGTTGTGTAGTGTTCCGTAACTTCTTACAATCACCAAGAGCACATACAAGTCAGTTATAAACTTTTACAATAAATTCAGTAATCCATGGGCATTTCCAAGCTTTTGACTAGTATGTAGAAATGGCAGTGGTTGTGGGTTTGAAAAAATATCACTTGACATTTTTTTATTTTTTAAAATAGTACAAAAAGTATCTTGATTGTCACCCTATATGACACTGATAGCAATGTCAGGTACACCATCTTGCTCTGAGCAAGACACTTTTATTGAGTTTAACAAATTATCTGGCAATGAGGGTTGAGCTATTCAATTCTCATTTTCATTCTCATTCTCACTCTCGCTCTCTCTCTCTCTCCATCAGAATAAAACAATTTATGAGTACTTTAAAAAATTAAATCTAATAGATTTCAGAAAACATACGATCTTCAAAAATCTCAAATGCATAAATATTTTAAAACATCCAAGCAAAACTAGCAAATGCATTAACAGTGGGCATGACTGATCGGCACCAACACACTAATGACAACACTCATTTAGTCCGTGTTATTTAAACCATCAGGTAATATGCCACAATCTGCTTTAAAAGCATTCATCACATTCAAACTGCATTGCAGCAATAAATCTTAGTAAAAAATATAAAATTGTTTCCTATCAAAAAGACTTATAAATAGCTTTTCATTAAGAAATTAAAATATGAACACATACAGTACATCACACCTGAAGTCATCACACTATCATTCATGAATTGGTTAACTAATAATTTTGGCAATGTTAAGCCAACAACTATCAGACGAAGTAGGCAAACGATTAAAAAATACCACAGTCAAATGTTTGTATCACTAATGAGCCTTACACTACGAGGGAGAGGCAGCATGGGCATCCCAGTCAACAGATCTAATATTCAGATCATCACTGAAGCGAGTGTGTGTGCTTTCCCCGAGCGGCACTATAAATAAGTACTTGTGAGCCTACTGCCAACACCTATGTAGACTTTAATTACTCCACCAGGATGCTGGTGTTTGGTCTTCCATAATCCTGGTTAATGTAGAGATCGTTCGGTGTGTTAAATTTGCCCTTGGGTCCCATACTGATGTTAGGTTTTCTGTTACGAAGGTTGTCCTGATTTCTAGCATGAACGGCTCTATCAGCTGGGTCCTCTAGCATAGTCTTTATAAGTTCTGGGTCTGAGAGTCGTGTTAAGAGCTCGTAGAACCGTGCATGGCTCAAGTGTTGCTTCAGACGGTATAGTAAATAAACATCACCAATTTTGCAACAATTGACAACAGAAACTATAGTGTTGCTCACTGTGTCTTTGGCATTGAGAGGCTTGGCCACCTTAAGCATCATCAGACGGAAATAAGGAAGCCACATAAAGCCTAAGAATATCAAGTATGCACATGTGATTGTAGTCAGCAAGATGAGCCATACCCATACACCAAGAAAAACTTTTTCATACAACTCCATCACTGTTAAATGACAACCAAATTTCTCTGTCCTTTGGCCAACTAGCTTGTTTACAACACCCAATTCACACTTGGCAAAAGGAGGAAAAGTCCTGGACATGTAATCCGAAAAATTAACAGGGTCACGGTCATAAGGATAGGCCATCCACCCATAATGGAGAAAGCGCCCTTGAAATACAAAATCTAAAAACTGGAAACTGATAATATCTACAATCAATGCTATAACATTACAGGTGACAAATTTGTAATAAAGTCCATTGTGAGTTTTAAGATTACAAGCAATATAGCGAGCTGCTCTGTCTACCAACTCTTTCTCGATCTGATCGTATCGATGAGAGTTCACGGCAAGGTCCTCAATAAGCTTCTTTACCTTGGGATTTTCTGAATTCTTGGAGATTTTGCGGGGGATGTAGTAAATGCCAGCTAGCACCAGTAGAGTCCAATGTATCCATCTGTAGAAGAGAAGGAATCTACGGTCTGAGCTGCCTTCCTCAACATATGGGTAGGAGAGGCATATATTTATGTAATCCAGACGGACCTGGGTTTCAGCATTGAAATGAGATACACACGTGATCACGTCACGATGGTACCAGGAATACCAAACGGCAGAAAACCCAGCCAGTAATAGCCAGAAGGTCCACTGGTAGTGCATCTTGAGAATAAGTCCATCGCAAGGGGAGGTGCATGGAGCACGTTTCTTCTTGAAGATATTCACTACATTGCCCACCAATTGGCGGATAATGTCGGTGCCACCGTGACCTATGATAGCCATCTTTCAGTTCCTGAAAAATCAATTCATTGAAATTAGGCTCCTAATCTCTTCCTACTTGATTATATCTGAAACAAAAGAGATGTTAATAGCCTTTCATAGTGTACCATATCAGTGCCCACAACCATGCCACTGTGCATCTGTCAAAAGCGGAGCCCATGCTTAAGAGGGGAGAAAATGAAAAAACAAATACTGTTCACATTTTATTAAAAACTGACTGAAGCAGAATTGTCTCAACTTGCAGATCCTTCCCTTCCCTTCCCTCCCCTCCCCTCTCTCCCTTCCCCTGAGTCTTGAGAATAAAAATGTCAACATCAAGTCTCTTAACAGAAAAGCTTAAATGCAACAACTACAATAAAATGCCAAAGACATAAATGCATAACCTGGATGTCAGCTGTTTTCTACATAAAACAAACCTTAAGTACAATAAGCATTGCTAACTATAGATTCATACATAATTACAACTTAACAATCTCCAACATTAAAACAAATTCTGTTATTCTCAATCACTTCCAATTTACACATACATACACTCTAAAAAATGTTGCCTAAATTATCATCACAATGTTCAAAATTTGAGAAAAATTCCACCAAGAGCTTTTTAAAAGCCAGCCAGCTGGTTTCACTGAACATTCTCCATTTGTACTATCCACTGATAAGTACCAAAGAATTAACTGGGCTGAAGATGTAGTTTTAAATTACAGGCTTCTAGGCTTTTTTCCCCTAATTTATTCAACTAAGATACTGGAGTTGGGTAGATATCCCCCTTCACCAGGTGTGTTAAAGAGGACATCCTGAAACTTGCCTGGGGTTTTCGGGTTGTTCTTGCGTTGACGGAGGTCCTGTCCCCCAACACCTTTGTTGTGGCCATGGTGGTCGATGGATACACTGTCAAGCATTGTGCGGAGGAAGTCAGGGTCTGAGAGACGTGTTAACAGTTCATAGTACCGAGCATGACTAAAATGCTGTTTCAGGCGATACAGAAGATATACATCTCCAATTTTACAAGTACTCACTATGTTGCAGATTGTATTCCGAATGGTGTCTTTTGCACTAACTGGTTTTGCAATCCTTAGCATTAGTAGTCTTGCCCAAGGAACCCACATTAGTGCCAAGAAGACTAAGTAAAATGCAGTCATTGTTGTCATAACTATAAGCCAGAGCCATAAAACCAAGAACACCTTCTCGTACAGCTCCATCACAGTTAGGTGACAACCCAGTCGTTCAATACGTTTATTAGTCAGCTGTACTTCATTGTGCAGTTCACAGTTGGCAAAAGGCGGGAACATTTCAGACATATAGTCTGTAAAATGCTGTGGGTCACGATTGAAGGGGTATGCCTGAAAACCATATCTCAGAAATCGCCCTTGGAATAGAAAATCAAGAAACTGGAAGCTAAAAATATCAACCAACAGAGCAACCAAGTTACATGTAACGTATTTGTAATAGAGACCATTGTGAGTCTTCAAGTTAAATGCTATGTATTTAGCAGTTCTTTCAACAAGCTCTCGTTCCAGACCATCATAGCGATGAGCATTAACAGCAAGATCTTCAATGAGCTTCTTTACTTTGGAATTCTCTGAAGTCTTGGAGATCTTCCGTGGTATGTAGTAGATGCCAGCCAGTAGCAGTAGTGCCCAGTGGATCCAGCGGTAAAAGAGGAGATAGCGTCTCTGGCCACCTTCAGCTTCCCCAGCATCTTCCCCTGCCCCCTCAACAAAGGGGTATGAGAGGCATATGTTGATGTAATCTAATCTAACCTGTGTCTCAGCATTAAAGTGAGAAGCACATGTGATGACATCTCTGTGGTACCATGAATACCAAATGGCAGAGAAGCCTCCTAGAAGGACCCAAAAAGTCCATTGGTAGTGCATCTTAAGCACCATGCCATCACATGGTGCTGTACAGGGCGATGCCCGCTTATTGAAGATATTGACAACATTGCCGACAATTTGCCGGATAATGTCAAAGGACCTCCCACTCTGGCCTGGCATTACCATTCCTCTATCTCTGTAAAGGGAGAACTACATTACTGGTTCGATCGCATCTTCCTCCATCTTCTGTATTTCACAGTATGTCAATTTCTCAATAAGCTATTTACCATTAAAATGAAAGTCTGAAAACAAATCTACTTTTATTTATCATAAATAAAAATGCTGAAAACAATTCTACTACCAGCAATATTGTCAACATAAAACTTTATCCCTTAAATAAATATATAAATATTTATATATAAACAGATGAAGAAATGAAATTAGCACATGCAAGTGAGCTGAACTGAGAAGATACACCCAATACTACAACATGCAGAACATAAAATTGACATTTACCTATTTAATTTATTTAATTCTGGTTTCTAGTGAACCTCGTTAAAGGTTCTTAAAGCCAACTGTAAAAATGAAAGGTGCATATATTAGCATTAGATTATAATTCTAGCCTAAAAAGCATCAGCTTTAAGGTTTTTGAAGATTATTTTTATCCCCTATCTGTAAGTTGAATTGTCAGCTACAGCAGATCTCTTGACTAAAGCTTTAAAAAATGGCATAGCAGCCAGCATAACAAGACAAGAAACCCTGCATGGAGCAAGACTAACATTTAGCACTATGAAGTGGGCACTAATGTGGTAACTATGGAGCTTTGCTGACACCACCCTAGCTTCAATAAAAAGCAACTTTTAAATGGGGTGACTGCATTCTAAATGACTTGTTTATTCTTGCCCCTATATTAAGAGCAAGTTTTCTGGCTGGGAAGTCTATACCACACACATACAAAAAAAAAAAAAAAAAAAAAAAAAAAAACTACAGTACATAGCCATTTTTAAATATTTCCTGGGGTGGCATCAGCCTAGCACAATATATTGTGGTACATCTTAACATCGGTGGCAGCACATATCTACATCTGATTTAGATGCAGGGTTTCAGCTCCCAACGACATAAATCTTTGATCTTAGGTTTAATCAGGAAATGAAGTGTTCACAGTGAGAGCTGCAGGTGATGCTCTTAAGGTGAGTGCACAGAGCAACCAACCACCAGTTGTGGCAAGATACAGCCTCCAGTCATGCCACATTCCACTCACCCTTATTCTTCCCAACACAGTGGACTTGTGTCCTCACCCTTTTCCCTCGCCCACTCTTGCCACAATTTATCACACCCCTTTACCACTTTACTGTTTTAACAGCATAATAACACACAACATGCGCATCCTCTACAAACCAGGATATTGCGCATTAAGTACTTTTTTAATCATTTCAAAAAATTTAATTGGAATAGTTTGAAAGAAAATTCCTATACACAAAAAAATAAGATAATCTCAAGACTAAAATTTTGTTCATTAATAATTTTATCAATACTTTACCTTGTCCAAATTTCTCCCTTTAATTCTAATTTCCCATCCCTAATTTTGAACCTGCAATGGTGGGACCAGCAACATTAATGACAATGAGCAATATCAGAATTAATAAAAGCTTCCATCAAGCTTATTATTATTAATTATTATTAAGCAAAAACATGTGTAGCACTGTATAGTAAAATGGAGAAGAAAAATAATTTGATAACATGGCTCATTTTTTATTTAAAAAAAAATCTGGTTTAATATAAAATATCCAACATTCCAGAAATTATATGTGTACTCTAATGTTTGGCAGTACGACTCATTGCCATCTGTCCAGTAAATATTTTTTTTTCTTCTGTTGTGCAGGATAATCTGTTGTTTCAAGCAGGGAAAATTTTTCAACATCCATGCTAATGAATATCAAAATACAGTACTATAAATTATAAAAAAGCTAGAATAAGATAATCAATAGCCATTAAAACAGAAAAATGCATTTTTTTATTTGTAGGTCTGAATTGCCAATTAATTTTGTTTTGACAATATGAAAACATAGTATTTTCTACTTCTCAACATAGGAAAGATAATTTACTTATGTAGTTTTAGTATTTTATTATCCCCACGAATTTATTCAAAGCAGAATTAAAATAAAGTTAAGTGGGCACATAGCAGGTAACAAAAAATTGTGCCTTCATTTATTTTTTAATTAACTCAAATATATTATTCTGCCAAAGTTTCAGCAATAGGTTTTTCTTACTGAGCAATTAATTTGGAACTTATTTTTCACTCCCACACTAACTACTGAACTTCTCTCATTTACCAAATTAGGTAATAGTATAAATTTAATGACTGAAAAGATGGTTCATAGCTAGTCTTGATTAACGTGTGATAAATTAACCGTCAATTGGCCAAGCATGGATGCTGTACACTAATGAACATGCAACTTTTGTCAAGTGAGTATCAGAACTTTGAACCATCTTTTTCCATGCATGTGCTTCAGTGTGTCAGCAGTCACTGCAGTTCCTAACTAACCTTTGGGGTTGAGGCTGTTTAGGTTTGGTGGATGCCGAGTCGTAGGATGCCAGAAGCTGACGCAGGCTGAGGTCGACGTCACTCATGTGCTGTGATGTGGTGGAAACATTGCATCAGTGTAATGACCAATACGCCATCGGGACCTGCGTCTCACCGACGCTCCGTTTATCTCCAAGCTCCTCCACTTTCTCGCCTCTTCTTGCTGTCAGAAGTACCTCATCACGCCTGCAAAGCACGAGAAGCTATAGTATGCATTAAGCACCTGCTGTATTAATTAAATAAAACATGCTTATTATATTGGCTGTTCAATAGCTTATGAATATTCAATGACAAATGAATCCACAAGAATACTAAGTACCTTATATTTCAATCACCAATGAGACCTTTTCACCAGATCCTATTTTCTGTTTTATTGTTGCATTATTGACCAGTGTTTGGAGGTAGTATACATTAAGATTACATTGGGAAATTTTGAGCTTACTAAAGTTTAAAGATGCAAAGAAAAAAGTAGAGAATATTTTCATTGGCCATCTACTACTGCCAAACAACAGCAGTACCTTCTGTCCAAAATCAACCTGAGGTGATTATATAGGTAGCAAAGATGTGAGAAAGGTGGTAGATACTACACAGGTGTAAAGATATCAGAAGGTTACCAACGAGACTGCAAACCTACCCTTCATAAGGCCATTCAAGTACAAGCATTTAGTTTTGCTCATATTTACTAAAAAAAAAGCTCTTTAATAATAATAATAATAATAATAATATAATAATAATAATAATAATAAATAATAATATCTTTATTTACAACAAGTACATATACATGGTATACAGTCCTAGCTGACAACAATGACATACTACTATATAGAAAGCCGCTTGTTATGTATGCTCCGCATGTCGGGCAAATTAGGTCAGTGTCCCAGGATGCGACCCACACCAGTCCACTAACACCCAGGTACCCATTTTACTGATGGAGAACATAGACAACAGGTGGAAAGAAACACGCCCAATGTTTCTACTCTGGCTGGGAATCGAACCCAGGCCCTCGCCGTGTGAAGGGAGAGCGTTAGCCACCAGGCCACCAGAGCCCCATTAAATTAAAATACCATGTATACTAGGATTTGGTATAAAATGTAGCAACAATCACTGCCATTTGGTTTGCCTCCTCTGAACCACATTTCTGCAAGCACTCTCGGCAGTTCCCTCTCCTTCATATTTCCAGCATATGTCAGCAATACACAAATAACCCGCACATAAAAGAGAAGCTTACGACGACGTTTCGGTCCGACTTGGACCATTGACAAAGTCAATGGTCCAAGTCGGACCGAAACGTCGTCGTAAGCTTCTCTCTTTTATGTGCGGGTTATTTGTGTATCGTTCCAGTCACGGTATTGTGCCTTTTTTTGTTATTTATGTCAGCAATTACCGCAGTTCCTGCGCGGTATGACCCTAGTGGGTTTACCGCTTGGTTTTGATTATAATAATATCCTCAATTCCTATATCTATTGGGACACCATTGTCCAACACTTTCCTTATCACCATACATACTATACCCACAGTAAGAACAATGGAGCAATACACTACACATCAGACATTAGCATAAATCCCCCAGATTTCAACAAAGAAACTGTAAATATGCCCATACATGCAACACCTGGGTCTGATTCATTGAACTATAAAAGTGCAAAATACTACAGTAAGTCCACTCTATTCCCCAGACTTCGCTAATTCATGTAACAAATGCAGTCATGGGGTATAATCCATAAAATAAGGAGAATAGGTATAAGAGGAAAAGGTAAACGTATATTAAATTTTGTGAAAAATAACTATTATTATTAATCAAAAGAGAGCGCTAAACCTACGAGGGTCATAAAGAGCCAAAATAACAAAATCTGCCCTTAGCAAGGTAAAAAGTTCAGACCCCAAGGCACAGTCCTGGCACCTTCACTTTTCTCATTCTTATAAAAGACCTAGATAAAAATAATAGCCATACTTTCTTATCTTATAATGGCAATATCAAAGTAAATATGAAAGTCACTAGTAGAAGATAGAAAAATTGCAATCAGATATCAGTCAAGCTTGCAACTGAAAATAAGGTGTTCTGGGGTGACAAATTCCAACTGTTTTGCTATAAAAAATAAGGCCACCCGTGGGGAGAAGTTTCCTTTAATAAATGCCTGAACTGTGCACCGGTATCCTTATCCACAGCTTGTCAGGATCACCACACCATTTACAACCAAACACAAACATGCTTTCAAAACCGGGTTTGAATAACTTTGCTGCTGAGTACAGTAACTCACATACCCACTTATAGGACAAAAGCCAAAGCAGTCATTAAAGGGGTTGACAAATTCAAGAGTTTAGAAGCTGCTCCCATTACAGTTTCTAACATAACCTCAAAATTTAAGTTTTTTAATTGGTCAAGCTTCTGGCAATGTAATTGTTGACCCCCGCATATTGTAGTGGCCAACCAACCATCTAAGAGAATCTTATTACTAATATTACCGCCTATATATCGCTATTTCCAGGTTTCTCTATAGATCTGCACCCTTCAAGGTAGATTCCTTGATGCTGATGAGGGGCTCTTGATCCTAGGGAATTGTATCTGTGCTTCAGTTCCCTGAATTGAGCCTGAATACTTTCCATATCTCCCCCCCCCCCCCAGGTAAAACAATCTGACGAACACGTGATTATATTTTAGGTCGAGCCTATATGACCGGCAGCCAGAAGTGTCTTGTTCTTTTATTTTTTGGGGCAGACGTGTCTATAAGTTCTTATGAGACATGTACAACAGTTAGGTATATTTATTCCAAAACATCTGGCAATCTTTATTGTGGAAAAGTTTCGTCGGCCAGTGGCCTCTTCAGTCCAATACAGAGACGAACGGTGGAAAATGAGGAGTTTGAAATAATCAGTCCCTCAGCCTGGAGTCAGTGTTCAGTCCATCTCGAGAAATGTACAACATAAGAAGGAAGAAGAGGCAGGACCCACTAGTAGCAAGACTGTAAGCATGTGAAAGCTCCCTCCTTCTTAGGTGGATGTGACCTGCACCTGACTAGCTTGGGTCAGTGGCTTAAGCCGGTAGGTGACTTGGACCTGCTTCGCATGGGCCAGGGGAAGTGCTGCAGTTTTCCTTCTTTCTTATATTCTTATGTAAATGTGCTTTTACATGCTTATGTAAACTTAAAGGTATGCGACTACCGTGTAACTAGTCTAACGAACATCACCACCCGACTGCCAGCCAATTATATTGCCAAAAAGTCACATCATTAATCTGCATAGCTGGAGTCTACCAGACAACTTTCTAGAAGCATTCACGTCCATTCTAACATCTAATAAATATTAAATGAAACTGGTTTGCCTGTTTTACCATAAATGTTCTCATAAGGTTGACGAGAACAAAGGTGCAACGTTGCACTGCTCCGTTTTGATGCCCGAATGCATATACATGTAAATGGAATAATCTATAAAAAACTGATAATTTCAAGATTTTATTATTAATTATTATTATTACTATTAATTATATTATTATTATTACCATTAATGGGAAGCGACTGGGGAATGGAAGGCAATCTGTTTAATCCGAGGATCGAACAGATTGTATCAAAATCTAACTTCCCCTGATAAGTCAAGATATAAATCACTGGAAGGGGAGGACAATTCAGACTATTCGGGTCAAGAACAGACTCTTCGGGTCAAGAACCATTCACCAGCATCAAGGCAAACCGTGGTTAAACACACATGAATACACAGAACATTGTATTATGGAAAAATTTCTGTCTGGGACTGTTCACTCCATACATGGAACATAAACAAGGTCCCAGGACCGAAAACATTTCCACAATAGTGTCCCAGGTGTTTGTTCATGTGTCTTGAACAACAGGTCCTCACCATGGCAAATTCCAGTGATGGACCTGATAATGGTCCAGCACGCAACGAAACATCCTCTGAAGCATTGTGTTAACTGTTCAAGCCACGTTATTATCACTTACGTTTCTGCATATTAATGGTATTATATACCGACAAGGATGTTAACGAGACAATATGCGGTCTATGGCATTTTACCGAGACGTTATTGCGCCAGGTCGACTCCGCCAGGAACTTTCCTCAATTCTCGAGAATGGATCAAATCCCCAGTGCACCAATAAATAAAAGGCCACGAACCGCCTATAGTCTTGTAATTTATCCACCAATGTTAAATAATGTCCAGCTCCGCAGTGGCGAGTGTTCAGAATTAAATACTCGAGCTTAAATGATATTCACACTAACTCCTAGCCAGGCAACAGCACTACAGAATGTACTTACTGGCAGTAATATCGACTACAGTCTGGTTAATATACACACGGTAAATTAAGGGGTCATTTATATACTGGGACATATACGTATATATTAAGGCAACAACATTCCGCCTACCTGGGGGTTTTGTCAAGACAATATAATCGTTACTTAAAAAAATTATATAGGGAAGCGTGTGGAAAGTATTAGATAGTAGGCGGTGGTAGATAGTAATATTAGTAAACAGTTTTTACTACTAGTATAGATAGTAGAGTAGTAGTAGTAATAGCAAGAAATAATATTAATAGGTAGCACTATAATAGTAGTAGTAACAGTAGTAGCACAGCAGTAGTAGTAGTAACAGTAGTAGCATAGTAGTAGTAGTAACAGCAGCAGCATAGTAGAAGTAGCAGTATAGCAGTAGTAGTAACAGGATAGTAGTAACAGCATAGTAATAGTAACAGTAGCAGCATAGTAGTAGTAACAGTAGCAGCATAGTACTAGTAACAGTAGCAGCATAGTAGTAGTAACAGTAGCAGCATAGTAGTAGTAACAGAAGCAGCATAGTAGTAGTAACAGTAGCAGCATAGTAACAGTAGCAGCATAGTATTAACAGTAGCAGCATAGTATTAACAGTAGCAGCATAGTAGTAGTAACAGTGACAGCATAGTAGTAGTAGTAACAGTAACATAGTAGAAGTAACAGTAGCAGCATAGTAGTAGTAGTAGTAACAGTAGCAGCATAATAGTAACAGTAGCATCATAGTAGTAATAACAGTAGCAGCATAGTCGTAGTAGTAACTATCAGCATAGTAGTAACAGCACAGTAGTAGTATAGTAACATAGCACGTAGTAGAGTACTATAACAGTAGCAGCATAGTAGCAGTAGTAATAACAGTAGCAGCATAGTAGCAGTAGTAATAACAGTAGCAGCATAGTAGCAGTAGTAATAAC